CAGGGCAGGGGGCAGGGGGAGCTGGGGAGGTGCAGAGGGGGCATCTGGCCACCCCCTCTAGTCCCTTCCCACCCACGGGCCGAGGCGGGGCTGGGGGCTGAGGGGGCCCACTGGCAGGCCGTGACCCCCCGCAGGGCTCCGCTCGGGGCTGCCCCACTTTCAAGGGTGAAGGCAGAGGGCTGGGCCCACCAGCCTGGACGGGGGGCAGGGCTGAGGTGTGCGGCCTGCGCGCTGACCCCAGCCCCCTGCATTTCTCAGGCAGAGATGGATGGGAAGGCTAGGATCCCAGGGCCGACGCTCCCAGCTGCCAGCGTGGAGCAGCCCCCGAGGCACGTGCTCCCGCTGCTCCTCCCCCGCCTTGCAGCGAACGCGGCTGCAGCGCCGAGCCGTCTGTCAGTCCTCACGCCCGCCTCCCGCGGGGGACGCAGCCCGGCTGCGACGGGAACCGCAGAGGCAGGCCGCACGTCCAGTCCACAGCGACCCCCCATCGTGTTATTTCCTGCCATCGGAAGAACTGCTGCAGATCAGAGAAGCCCCCCCACCCCCCAGCCAGGGCCCCAGTTACTAAATAATCTGAGGTCCTGGGTATTCTCATACACCCGTGACGGTGCACCTGGCTGGGCGGGGCAGGGACGGGCGTGAGGACCCTCAGAGCAGCGTGCACAGAAGGCAGGGTCGCGGCCGAAGCCCGTGACGCCTGCTGGCCCAGCACGCGCAGGAGGGGCGCTGCCCTGACGAGGTGAACTGTGAACCGCTGCACCCGCCTCTCATCCCGGTGCTCGTGAGGCGGGCGGGCTGGTCTGCACCTTGTCCCCGGGACAGCGGCCCTCAGGGGCACACACGTGCTGCTATTCTTCTCCAACCTCCCTTCCCCCCCCCTCCAAGCCCCCCGGGGAAACGGGGCACCCGCCCACCACCAGGCCAGCCAGAGGCTTTCCCGCATCCCTGCGGTCTGGCGGGGAGGACTCAGGACTGCCAGGAAGTGACCAGACGGGAAAGGGTCTAGTAAATGCAGAGTGAGATGGAAACAGAGAGGCTGCCCCCAAATACCCAGGCAGGGGAGTAAAACCCATGGAAAGCTCTAGAAGATATAGCGTTCAGAGAGGGAGGACCTCCAGGAAATGCTTCAGGAGAATGAAGGTGCACACGGTCATCTGTGAGTCGAGACTCCTCACGCTCGTTGGCAGTGCTCCGGGGGAAGCTGCCAGGACCCCACACTCTTCCAGGGGCCCCGTCCCAGGGCCTGGGGCACCACAGTCCAGGCGCGTCCGATCAACAGGGAGCAGACAGGGTCTGCCAGGACCCTCGCCTGCTCTTTGGGTGCGGTGGACATGGAAGCACCCGTGACAGCTTCATAGGGAATTGGGGGCGGGCTGGAGGGCAGCCCGGGGACAGAAGCACCCCCTGTCCCGACCTCCTTCAGGTGAGACAGGGCAGGGTGTCTCATCCTGCTGTCTGGGGACAGTGTAGGCGTGACCGTCCAGGCAGCAGTGACTCCCCCCCCACCACGTCTCACTGCCCACCTCCTACATCCACTTTTAGCTCAAGTGTGGCCGAGAAGGGGCCGTTCCTCACCTAAGACACACGGGCCACAAATACTACCTTTGAGACTAGAAACAAATAACCCGCTCAAAGGCAGGCTCGTCCGTTCATTAGACGGGGGCTCCCAGCTGTCAGAAGACCTCAGGACTCAACGCTGGGTCCGATCGCGGCCGTGGCTTTGAACCCGGTGACTGCATTGCACCCTCTCCGTGTGGAGCAAGCAGGAGCCCTGGGCCTTTCACCTTGAAACGTGCAACGCTGGGCAACTAAACGCCAGCACCCCTCCCAGCTGGGGGCTCCGTTCGCCATCGTATCGGGCTTAGATCAGACTGTCGGGTGGGCTTTGCAGCCCTGGCCCCCGACATTCTTGAACCAGGGGACAAAATGAAACCGGGCTGGGATCACACACTTTCTCCACCGGAAGTGGAAAAGCCAGACCCCATGGAGCCCAAGGAGATGCTTTCAACGAGACAACAATGTGAGACAGCAGAGCCTCCCCATCTGAGACACTGAACATCTGAAGAGCACCCACAAACCTCAGCGGGGTGCTGTCTCTGCCCCATCCAAACGGCATGTTCGGGCGTTCTGTGAGCCCGATGCCCTCGAGGGAAGCCCAGGTCAGGTCTGTCACGTGGCTGGGTCGGCCCCCATCTCCCTGGGCACCCCACAGGATGAGATGGGGGAGAACCCCAAGTTCACCAGGCACGTAGCTAGAGAAGGAGCAGCATACACGAAAGGGAAGTAGCGCACAGGTAGAGGCTGGTTTTGAGCAAATACTCCAGACCTAGGGTTGGGGTTATGGGCTCACACTTGTTCATTATGTCATCAGTTAGAGAAGATGCGCTAGGAGGGAAAAGGCCGTTCGCAGACCAATGATACGACACAAACGCCTCCGGTCCAGGGCCACCTAACTATGGCTTGAGGTCCCAATCCAACCCCCCCCACCCTTTGTAAATAAGTCCACCCTTTGTAAATAAGACCCGGCCACGCCTATTCCATTGTGTGTCCCGCACACAATGGCTGTTTTTGTGGGTCATCGCCACAGGCTGGCAAAGCCTGAAATATTTACTATCCTATTCTCTGCACAAAAAGTTTACCCACCACCCCATCTTTGTAAATAAAGTCCTACCCATCTTTGTAAATAAAGTCCTACCCATCTTTGTAAATAAAGTCCTTCGGGAACCGGCCACGCCCATTCCATTGTGTGTCCCGCACACAATGGCTGTTTTTGTGGGTCCCAGTGCCAGCCCCAGACGGAGTCCCCGCAGGCCCTGGGTTACAGGGACCACTCCCCTTTCTTCCCTTGGCCTCTGTCCTCTCTCCCTTCTCCTCCTCCCGCCCCTCCCCCGTCTCACCCTCACTTTCTGATATTAAAGTTACAAGAATATATACTAAGCGAGGTGCCGTTAGATGATGTTGGTTTTGTGGGTCTGAAAGAGACGTAAGAGGTTTCAGTGAAATCTCCCCATTTCAGTCTCAACGGCTAAGCAACAGTACATTGAAACTTCTGAAACTGTGCCCACTTGACCTTGGATACCCCTGAGACCCCAGCGTTTGGCTAAAACATCTGGGCCGCTTCATTCACCTGCAGGAGCGGTGCGGGCAGGCAGCCTCAGTCCCGGGCACCCCTCGGCGCCCCTGGCCGTGGCCAGGCTCGCGGACTGTGCCCCACATGGGCTCCCGCGGCCGCACCAGGGGGCCGCTGTGAAGGGGGGCCTACTGGATGCTGAGCAGGTGACGCAGACACAGGGCACGGGCGTGGGTACCAGCGATGTATTTATTGTGGGTGGGGCTCGCACTTATCATATCCTTTGAAACTCTTGTAAGCGTTTCCTGGCGTCTTCGAGAAACTGCTTGTGCAACTTGTTTTGCTCTTCAATTTGCTGCTCAAGGTCATGGATCATCTGACCATGCCTGTCGTCGTCCACACAGCTGGAGGCCAAGGGGGAAGTGGTGCTGCGTTCACACGCCTCTTCCTCCTCCTGGTCTGGGAGGGAGTGAGACTTCAGACGAGCCAGACACGCCCTCCTCTGTTCTCTCTGCTCCTCCAGCGCTGCCCGGGAGTGGGCTTCCCAGCTCAGCCCTGGGGGTCCCGTCGGCTCCTCCGGCCGCCGGCCCGGCCTCCGCTCCGGCTCCGTCCTCTGCCTGGGCCGGAATGCCATCCAGCCGGCTCCGTCTGGTGGGTCCTGTAAGGCAGGCTGACGGGGGCCCTGGGCCAGCGGGTCGAGCCTGGCCGGTGCCTGGCCAGAGCCTGTGCCACACGGGAGCTGGTTCTCTTCGTCCATGAGCATTCCTGCCTTGGGAAATGGTTTACTCTCGTGCTTGAACCTGAACTTGGCCAACCTAGGATTCTTCTGGTTCTCGAGCTCGCTCAGGAACCTTGTCAAGCTGTCCTCGGATGCCGTCTGGTGGGCGTCCACCAACGCGGGCCGCGCGGGCTCCCCGCCAGGCTCCACTTCTGCCCCCACGTCCCCCGTTTTCTGGTCTCGCAGGGTCTCACCGCGATAGTCTTGCATCCCCGAGGGGCCATGCTCCCTGCTGGGGCTGTGCTCCGCCCTGGACCTGGGATCAAGGTTCAAGATCAGGTGTTTCTTCAGCTTTCTGTTCGTATCAAACAGCTCCTCGAAGGTAAATTCCAGCTCCCTCTGCCATGTGCTCCTGACCCCGTGCCGGCCCAGGGACCCCGGCGACACAGCTCCCCTTCCGCAGGGCGAGCCAACCGGCCACGGCTGTTCTAGGTCTTTCACTTTTCCCTGGGGACCCTGATCCAGACCGTTGTTTTTCAGGCCTGGCCCAGGGGAACTGGCCTCCTTCCCCGGCTGCGTCGGCCCGTCCCGGGCTCCTTCTCGCCCCGTCTTGCCCAGACGCTCCAGGTCCTCCACAGCAGGCAGCGGCTTTTCTACGTTCGCCCCGCGGCGCGCCTGCAGGTCATGGCCCTCACCGCCCGTCGTCGTCGAGGGCACCCGCCTCCCCTTATTCCTCCCGGGGGGTCCGGGGGCACGACGGGTCTGGCCCGCGGCTCTGGCAGCCCCCTGCTTCTCCGCGCCCCCCGCCTTCCTCTTGGTGCGCCTGGCCTGTGGTCGCCCCGGCTCCTCTCTGTGACCCTTCTCTGCTCTGTGCTTCTCCCCGGCCCTCTGCAGACGGGCTGCTCCTCGCTGGGCGGAGCCCTCCGGGTCAGGTCGGTGCTCCCTGGCCTGTCCTCCCGCGGCGCTGAACAGATGCGCCAAGCACGGCCTCTCTGGGCCTCGCGCTGGCGGGCTCGGGGCCTCCTGCGCCCCAGGCTTCAGCTCCCCCGCCGCGCGCCGCTGCGGGCCTTGCCTTCCCTGCAGAGCGAGCTCCCCTTTCTCGCGGACTTGCAGTAGCTCGTGCTTCCGCCTCAAAAGCGGGGCTTCGTGGTTGGGGCTGGGACACGGACGGGCGGTTCTGTCTGCGTTTCTTCTCATGTCGGCGGTGGCTGCGGACACGGCTTTGGGGGGGGAGGTGGTGGGAGCCAAGAGTGGAAGTCAGGGCGCCAGGGGCTGTTTCACGCCAAGCCCGCAAAATCAGGAGGGCACGCACCGTGGCCCGGAACGTCCTGAGAAGAGCGAGCCCCTGGAGACAAGGGACAGGGAGCTGGGAATGCGGCCAAGCTCTAACACCCGTCCCTCCAGACCACTCTGGCCAATGCCCACCCGCAAGGGCCCAGGCTCTGTTCCCAGTGCGCCCTGCACACCTTTAACAAGATCCTGTCGGCGGCTGTTTCCAGCGGGGCGAGGGTCTGCTCTGCAGGGGACAGTGGCCATGTCGGGGGCACACACACTGGCATCTAGCACGTGGACGCCTGGGACGAGGCTCCCCACCCCGCACTGCCCGCGACGGTCCCCACCATGAACAGCGGCTCAGCCCCACGCGTCAGCAGTGCCAAGGGTGAGACCCCGACCCTGGGAGACGCGTGAGGACTCGGGCAGGGGCGGACGGGTGCGAGGGTCCGGTCTCTGCAGCGGGGGGCTGTTTGTAAGTGGCAGGAGGAAAGGGAGGGGGAGGGGGAGCCTGCTAGGCGGGGTGTCAGGATTCGCAGCTCTTTGCTCGTGGGATTATCGGGGTGGGGGCGGCGCTCTGGCCTCAGGGAGGGACCCGGGCTCTGTCCGCCCTCCCAGAAAAGGAGGAGCATCTACACCAAAAAAGTGTGGAGTCATTTCCGTGGCCGCTTGCAGCTGATATCAAGACCAGCCAGGCTGGTGGGCTACAGGAGGCCCTTCTGGACCACGGCAGGCTGTGCCGAGCGCCCCTCCACCACCCCTCCCTGCTTTCATTTCTGTGGGCTGAGGAAGGCCAGCCCAGAGGCATGGTGGGAGTCGGAACACAGCACCGCGTCCGTGGACGGGGGTCCCCTCCAGCACCTTACATGCTTTTGCTCATCTTTCTCACAATAACCCTGAGAGGTAAGGAGCTATTAGCATCCCTGGTTCGCAGGTGGGGAAACTGAGGCACAGACCGATTAAGAAACTTGGCCCAGATCACACAGCTGGCAAGCAGCAGAGCCAGGCCCATGCCGCTCAGGGCGGCCACAGTGCCTTTGACCAACCGAGGCCGCTCGCAGTGCCACCGGCTCTGGGGAAATCGGATCATGCAATTAGCGGTCAGTGTTACATTCAGCCCCTGCACCCACGGCCATGATGAGGAAGAGGAGGGGGGAGAGAGGAAGCTGGGGTGTCAAACGTTTTTTCCAACAAATCATGCTGGGACAGCCAGATGGCCATGTGCAAAAACCACAAACCCAGACCCCTATCTGGCCACATACAAAACATCCACTGTATACAAAAATCAACTCGAAGTGGACTGTAGACCTTAACGTAAGGTCTAAAACTACAGCTGTTCAGGGGCGCCTGGGGGGCTCCGTCTGTTGAGCGTCCGACTTCGGCTCAGGTCATGATCTCACGCTTCGTGGGTTCAAGCCCCGCGGCAGGTTCTGTGCTGACAGCTCAGAGCCTGGAGCTGCCTCGGATTCTGTCTCTCTTTCTCTCTGCCCCTCCCCCACTCATGCTGCCTCTCTCTCAAAAAAATAAATAAAACGTTTAAAAAGAAACAAAAAACTACAGCTGTTCTGAAGGAAACACGAGTGCATCTTCGTGACCCTGGCTTGGGTAAAGATGTCTCAAATACATCCCCGAAAACACAACCGATAAAAGAAACTGATAAAATAGCATCAACACTCAAAAACCTTTGCCCATCAGGGGCCAACATTATAAGTGTGAATACAGGCACAGACTGGCAGGAAATGCTTGTGAGTCACATATCCAACCAAAGAGGCTGGAATCTAGATTATGTAAACCGCTCAAAATGCATTAAGACAAATAATCCCGTTTTTAAAGTCAAAGAAAACCCCCCCAAAAACCAGGCCCTTCCCTAAAGAAGAGGCCCACGGCTAACGCAGCGCGAGCTGGTCAGCACGAACGGTCATCAGAGGACACTTGCTGAGGCCACGATGGGGCGCCGTCCACACCCGCCAGGCGTGCATTATGGCCGTAACTGGAAAGACGGACAGGAAGGAGCGTCGGTGAGGACGACGGGCGAGTGGAGAGCCCTTGCGCACTGCTGGCGGGGACGCAAAATGGCGCAGCCGCTTCGGAAAAAAGAGTTTGGCAAACACAGATTTGTCGTGCGACCCAGCAACCGTGTGCCCAGGGGAAAGGAGAGCATGTGCCCCAAGGCATGACCTTCCCAGGGAAGCGCGGGGTTTGGGTCTGAATCTCAGGTGCCCAAGACTGAGCTCTTCCCACCCCGGGAACGGCGGTGGCGGTGTCCAAACAGGCGGAGGGAGCTGTGGATGCCCCTCACCCGCCCTGGGAGACGGGGGTGGGGGTGGGGGGGCAGGGGGTAACCAGCAGACCCCTTGCTGTGCGTCCACGCCCCAGCCCCTGCGTGCTGACACTCCAAGCCCGACCCCGCTTGCCCACCTGACAACAGCGTGTCCTTGGCCTCCTGGGGTTCTCCCTCGGGTCTCCTAATCCTGCTCCCCCCAGAGCTGGATGGCTGCCCGCCCCACGGCGGCTGCCTCCCACCCTCAGGGAAGCCACAGCCCCCCGCCCTGCACAAGCCCTGCTCAGAGCAGCAGACGGAGGGAAGGTGGGCCCGGCCAGCCTCCAGCTCCAAGCGCACACTGGGCCCATTCTCTGGCTCTCCCTCCGCGGCCCCAGTGCGGCGGCCACCCCCAGGCAGACAGCCTTCTGGAGCGACGGGCCCCTGTCACGCTGCCGGGGAGACCTCGTTTGTGGGCGGCGGGGGAACCACCAGGCCCACAGCAGACCCCGGGCTCCCCACGCCCGTGAGCAGGCATGGCAACTTCAGAGGCGGGGGGGTGCCCAGACCAGGGGCTCCGACGTCAGGCAGGATGGAGGGTCTCAGGTCCCGTGGCTCCCCCCCTCCCACGGACAAGAGGAGGGCAGGGCCACGGAGGGGGGGACACAGTGCAAGCAGGCCGTCGCCCTCACACAGTCTCCGCATGAGGAAGTCTATTCCTACCCCACTTTCCGATGGGGAAACTGAGACTCAGAGAGGTTAAGTCACCTGCCTAAGGCCACGTAGTTCACCGGCTGTGGGTTTAGCCCTGGGTCGGGCTCCGTGCTGGCAGCACAGAACCTGCTTGGGATTCTCTCTCCCTCTCTCTCTGCCCCTCCCCTGCTTGCTCTCTCTCAAATTAAATAAACCAATAAACTTCAGGAGCTCCCAGGGGCTGTGATGCTCTGGTCTGGGGACCGTACTTCGAGAACGGCAGCCCTCGCAGATGGCTCGACCAGTATCCGGGTCTTGATCTGCCTCCTCCCCAGCCCCCTCCCCAACTGAGCCCCTCCTGAAAGACGCCTAATCAGGCTCTCTGTGCCTCGCGCCCCCCACCCCACCCCCTTCCCCAAGCCTGGTCACCCCCGCTCTGCACACGGCCACCATTCTACTTCAGCTGGTGCTCGGGCTGCAGCAGCTTCTCACCCACACCAGCAGGTGTCTAGGTGTCCGTCCACAGCCCACCTGCTCCCGTCACCTGCGCTGCCGGTGAAAATGCAGATTCCGGGGCCCTGCTCCACGCTGATCCTGTCCCAGCCCCGGCAGGCAGGGGCCCAGAGCATGGTGGGTTCGGCAGGCCATCCCCAGCTCCCAGGCAACTCCCACCGAGGCCCACAAGCCCCGGCCCGAGGTTCTGAGACCCCACCGGCAGCTCATGGTCCTGGGCCCCCTCCTCAGCTGGGCTCCCCACCGCCCACCCAGGTCTAGTGGCCCAGCTGTGCTCACACACAACTCCTTCCGCACACAGACACCTCCTCGGCCCGACCCACATTTCCCCAAGCCAGGTCCTGCCGCCCCCACCTCTGGCAACAAGAGAAGCACTCTGTCCTCCTCCAGAGGCTGCGGGCTGGGCGCCTGGGTCACACGGTTTAGCACCTTTTCTTTGAAACATACAAAAATAGATCCAGAAAGGCTCCCATTAGCTGGCAGGGCCAGAGAACACTTCTGTAAAATGAAAGCTTACCCTTTCAGCTGTGAAGTTCATCGTGTCTGCTTTCTGAGACTACACAGAATAGATCACCTTTGACGTTTTTTGGAATGTTCCAGATTAGGTTTTGGATGACAACATGAAGAATCCCTTAAAGACTTTTAAAATGCATAGGACCTGGGGTGCCTGGGTGGCTCAGTCAGTCGGACACAGCCCAGAGCCTGGAGCTGTTTCGGATTCTGTCTCCCTCTGGCTCTGCCCCTGCCCTGCTCATGCTCATGCTCTGTCTGTCTCTCTCTCAAAATTAAATACACATTAAATAAAATAACACACGTAAGACTAAAAAAATAAAGACAAGGAAAAAAAGGCATATGTAGGACCGAGTTCCCCTATGCTAAATGACCTCCCCGAATATAATTTGGATTTTATAGGCTGACTCTTTTTTTTTAATATTTAATTTTGAGAGAGACAAAGCACAAGTGGGGGAGGGGCAGAGAGAGGGAGACAGAATCTGAAGCCGGCTTCAGGCTCTGAGCTGTCAGCACAGAGCCCGACACGGGGCTCGAACCCACGAACCATGAGATCATGACCTGAGCCGAAGTCGGACGCTCAACCGACTGAGCCCCCCAGGCGCCCCTTAGCCGCCTGTGTCTTCCTCCCTGGCTGTGACACAGACACAGAGGGACAGCGCCCCATCCTCCTTTTCTCCAATGGCCCCCGAACTCCTGTGGCCTGTCACCACACAAGGCAGCTTGTCAAAACTGTGTCTAAAGAGAAAAGAAGAGTCTGTGGCACGGGGCACGGACAGGCTCTTCTGTGAGTCAAGTTCACGAGCGTGTGACTCTAAATGTACCAAGTCTAGCTACGGACATCTGGCACACGATTCCCCGTGGGACCCAGCAAGCCAGCTGCCGTGTCAGAAGGCACGGCTCCAGCTCAGGAGATTTTAAAGAGGCTTGAATTCCCAACCAAATCTGACAAGACTCAATGGATCGGGAAGACATTTATAACTCACATAGGGACCCCCAACCCTGGCTGTGCAAGCGCGAAGCGGGAACAGCTCTGCAGAGATGCGTGTGATCTTTCCCTGCGGTGACAGAGAGGCCTAGGACACGCAAGGCAACGGTCCAGCCCAGCGCCGCTCCGGTCAGACCCCAGCCGGGCGCTCCAGGCCCTGGCGTGCAGGGGGGGCTCACGGGAGCTGGACGGCACGTGGAAGAGGCCCGGGGAGCCCACCCTGCTGCCACGCCACGGGCGCACAGATGGAGCGAGACGGCCGGGAAGCTCTGTGAACAACCCCCAGCTCAGGGGAAGGCTCGGTGAACGTCTAACCATCAGAGAGATGTAAAGCCAGACGTGCAACCCACGTGCACGGGGCCGACAGACGTGTGGCCAAGTAGCCCCGCAAGAGGTGCCCATAGCTAGCAAGTCTGCCTGGCATCAGGGCAAAGCTTCATAATCACAGTGTAAGTACTGAGATGCTTCCGAATTAACCTCTAAGAAATATACATATGGGGCGCCTGGGGGGCTCAGTCGGCTGGGCGTCCGACTTCGGCTCAGGTCATGATCTCACGGTTTGTGGGTTCAAGCCCTGCGTCGGGCTCTGTGCTGACAGCTCGGAGCCTGGAACCTGCTTTGGATTCTGTGTCTCCCTCTTTCTCTGCCCCTCCCCCACTCATGCTCTGTCTCTCAAAAATAAAGGTTTGAAAAAACAAAGAGTAAGTTTTAAAAAACGCTAAAAATATTAAAAACAAAGAAATACACATGAATGACAACTATAAGCTCACTAAGGAGGAAATCTAGATAATAGAGAGATGTGTTTTCCCAGAAAGGATTCACAAAAACTAGAGCGTTCAACAAGGGGGGAGGGGCTATAGCCTGAATTTAGGAGGAGAAAGAAAACCTGTCAGAAGAAGAAAAACCCTAAGGAACCAAGAATGTCTGGAGAAGAGCCTGAAGGAGATGGAAAAGTCTAGAACAGTGCAGTGTGGTGGTGACGAGTATGAACTGTGTGACCGGGCACGAGTTTCTCAACTCTGGGTGCCTCAGTTTGCCCCTCTGTGAAATGGTGGTAATAACAGCACCCGTCTGTATGGATGTTAGCATTCATCACTATGAAACACCCACATACTGGGCAAGCCGTTTGGAGAAGAGGGTGGTACTTACCGCGTGTATCTCCAGATGACTGAGCCAGACCGACAACACATTACAGGCAGAAACTGGCCAGGTGGAAAGAAGCACTTGCTAAATGTTTGTCTTGAAATCATGGGGGTGACTTACAGGTAGCGAGACACCCATCACTGGAAGCATCCAAGCCAAGCCCGGATTTTAAAAAAATCAGAAACATTTTAAACTCCATTTCTCTGAGCTCTAGCCTTTAAAAATACAACCGCTGGGCTGCCCAGGGCCTTGGGGTTTGCCCACTTCCTGGCTCTCGGCTAAGGTCCAGAGGACTGGTTCCTAAAGCCGGCTGGGTTTTGGACCCGCTGAATCAGAACCACTGTGGGCAGGGGAGTCATGGTAGAAAAAGAATCCTGGCCAAGACCCACGGCAGCGTTTTGCACCCAAATCCTAGGGTGGGGGCTTATAAACCTGTATGTTTAACCCTCACCCTGATGCATGGCCCGCCTGGGACGGTTCTAGAAGCCCACGGGGCCGGGCAGCCAGCCCCTGGGGGAATAAGCTCAGGCTCATGTGTCTCTGTTATCCCCCGGACCAGCTTCAGAGGCGGACATGAGGCACAGACTCTTCCAAACCCGCGGGAGATACCAGGTAGCCAAGTGGGCCGCTTACAGCTCACCCGACTGGTGGCCTTACTAAATGTCCCTGGACAGTGTCGATCATGGGTTTTCCCTGAAACCTCACGACTCCAGGGACCCAGTTCTGCTCAGGGGCCCCCGTGACCACAGCTGTTCTTAGAGCACGAGGACTTCTCCCCACTCCCCCAAACAAGCACGTTCATCCCCAGCCTCCACCTCCCATCCCATCCAGCTGGGAGCCCCACAGTACGGGACGTTCAAGTTAGCCTTCTGGGGGCGCCTGGGGGGCTCAGTCGGTTGAGCGTCCGACTTCGGCTCAGGTCATGATCTCGCAGTTCATGGGTTCGAGCCCCACGTCGGGCTCTGTGCTGACAGCTCAGAGCCTGGAGCTGCTTCAGATTCTGTCTCCCTCTCTCTCTGCCCCTCCCCTGTTCATGCTCTATCTCCTTCTCTCTCAAAAAAATGAATAAACATTAAAAAAAAAAAGAAATTCAAATTAGCCTCCTGGACATGTGACCTGGTGACCCTGAAGGGCCACTTCCCCAGCCCCCGTAAGAGTGCCCCCAAACAGCTGGGTACGCACAGGGCTCGCCCCACAACGGATCGGGGGTGGGCACCACCGAACTCCGGACAGTCTGCACTGGCATCTCCAGGGCCCACTGACCAGGGTGGGCTGGACTCGCAGCTCCCCGCCTCCACAGCAGCCCGGGGTCTGGCCCGGCTGGTGAGCCACGTGGGCTGCTGCCGCGGGAACGACAGAGCTGCTGACTTGTGACATCAGAGCAGGGCTGAAGCCAGGGGCGCTAACCAGCCTGCCAGAGGGCGAGCGCCCAGGGGGACACCTGCTGGGGGTCTATACCCACCACGAAGACTCGGCTCAAGCGGCTGGGGTGCTGAGCAGACGGGCGGCCCGCGGGCGGGGCATCATGAAGGTCAGGGCGCGTGTGCCCTTTTGGTGTTTAAGGAGGGGCCTGGCTGTGCATGCTGGCGCCCCTCTCGCCAGGGGGTTGCCCTTCCGAGCTGTCCCAAGTCCAAGTCAGGGATCCCCAAGATGCCAGCCACCCCTCCCCCCACAGGGAGGGCGCCTGCTCACACTCAGGTCGGGGACACATGGTCCTCTGGGACACCACTGCTGAGCAGAGCTGACAGGGCGCGGGGGGAGAAGGGCTCCTGGCCCCGCCCCCTGCGGCCACCCACCCCCACAAAATAAGAAATCAGACACGCCTGACTTCGGTTCTAGGGCTGGGGGCACCCTCCACAAATCAGACAGTCAAGGAATTTAGTCTGGAGAACAGGACTTTGGCCTTAAGAAGTCAAAGCAACTGATCATGGGGTTTGGTTTCTTTTTTTTTTTTTTAAGTGTTTATTTCTGAGAAAGAGAGAGACAGAGCATAAGCAGGGGAGGGTCAGAGAGAGGGAGACACAGAATCTGACACAGGCTCCAGGCTCCGAGCTGTCAGCACAGAGCCCGACGCGGGACTGGAACTCATGAACTGTGAGATCGTGACCTGAGCCGAAGTCAGATGCTTAACGGACTGAGCCCCCAGGTGCCCCAGGGTTTGGATTCTTGAGAGGAGAAGGTTAATAGCAGGAACTTGGCTGAAGTGTGGGAATCTTGGGGACAAAAGCCTGTTTGGGGCTGGAAGGGCCCTCGGAAGTTCTCAACCACAGTCCGCCCCCTGCACCCCTCTTCTTGGGGTCCCTCTTCCTGGTCCTGAAGGTGCAGTCTTCTTCTCCTCCTGCTGCAGCAAATACCCCCTCCCAGCCCCCCACCTCTTCAGCATGATCTGGTCTCCCCACCTCCATCAAGGGACAAGTTCAGGGTCTGGGGGGCGGAATAAACACAGCATCCAAATGTTACAGCTTAGGGGGCCTTGGATGGCCTTCCAGAACATACCAGTATGGCCACCGCCACTGAAGACGTTTCTCCCAAGCTCGGGTCCTCCTAACACCATCTCAGTGACAGCTTCCCCCCCGCACACACATTGACCTGCCCTGCTCGACGGGACCTCCTCTCTGGGTCCATCACCGGTCTAGGACCAGCCGGCTTCCGAAAGCCGGGGCCGTACTGCCGATCCACAGTCACACCCGCACCTCAGCGAACTGTAACTTTAAAAATGACACGTACCGTTCACGTTCATCATAGAAAAACTAGGAAACACGCACTTGTAACAAAAGTCTCACCCTCCCCCCATCTGAGCCTGCCATGTTAAAATAAAAATTGTGCGGCATTTGGTCCCGCAGAGCCTCAGAAGCTGTGATTTATTTACCGGCTTCCCTACTGCTATGCATGTAGGTGTTTCTAACGCTTCCCTAAGACAAACAAGACGGAGATGAATGTCCTCACTGCACGCTGGCACGTGTCCTGAATTCTTTCCCTCAGAAAACGCCCGGATACAGGGCTGCCTGATAGGAGGGGAGACTTCCCGTTAAGGCCCCCCGAGTGGCCAGGCTGAGGTGCCCTTCTGCGCCTCTCGGGCGCTCGGGTCAAGACAGAATATCCCTGCAGTCAGGCCCTTCCAAGGACAGCAGGCCCCTCGGCCAGATGAACCGAGCAATGGGAAGTCCAGAGCTGTGACATCTGGTCCCGGCGCTAGAGACGCGAGCCAGCACCAGGCTCGGCGGATTCCTGGCCAGAGCCCTCGGCTGCGTGACCTTGGGCGAGTCATCCAGCCGCTCCTCCTCCAGACAGGAGGGGATGCCGGCCTCGCCTGCCTCACCGAGGCCTCCTAACTCGTAACTCGGAAGGAGGCGGGAGGCCCTCCAGCGCTGGGGAGGCCTCGACGGTCGGCACCTTCATCCAAGAGACGGAGAATTGAGGGCGATGGGCCTCTAGGGTTTTCAATCCCCCCCTTCTGGAACTGGTGCACAGAAAGCCAAGGCCGCTACAGATTTGTTCCTTCCTTCCTTCTCTGTCCTGGAGCCGCCCGGGGCCAAGGGGCCAAGATGTCACAGCTGAGAGTCTGGGACGGGCAGCCCGCGTGCTGCCCCTGCTCTATCGCCCTCCCTCCCCCCCAGCGCCCTCCCTCCCCCCTCCTAGCGCCCTCCCTCCCCCCTTAGTGCCCTCTCTCCCCCCAACNCGCCCGGGGCCAAGGGGCCAAGATGTCACAGCTGAGAGTCTGGGACGGGCAGCCCGCGTGCTGCCCCTGCTCTATCGCCCTCCCTCCCCCCCAGCCCGCCCTCGCCCCACTCCTAGCACCCTCCCTTCCCCCTCTTAACGCCCTCCCTCCCCCCCTCCTAGCGCCCGCCCTCCCCCCCTCCTAGCGCCCTCCCTGCCCACCCCTCCTGAAATGCCCGGCTGGTCCTTTCCTCCCAGAGATACTGAAGGGCTGAAGGCTCAGTGCTAGGAGAGAGCAGACAGAAGCCCCCAGGGCAGCACCGTGTGCACACGTCCATCCAAGAACCCTGTACCCAATAAGCAGGGCACCACGTGTGCCCCAAAGCCACCATCCCCCCTCCCCCACAGGCCAACACAGTCCTCCCGAAATGCATTCTCCCCTCTGAACGGAACAAGATCCTCTCCACCGACCTGAAGCCCACGGGGACCCCGAGTCCCCTCTCTCCCGGCCCCTGACAAATGGAGCGTCAGCTCTTCAAAGCACCCTGGACTCCGGGCTGGGGTTGCGGGGGGGATGCCCAGTAGCCTTGTGACCTGGGCAAAGGGTCAGATGACCCCCCTCAGTGTGGGAGCGCCCGGTGGGGAGGCGAGCCGGGATTCCGCCAGGGACGCGCGGGCACGCAGCACCCTCCCGGCCCTGCCCTCCGCTCTCCTGCACATCATGGGGCCTGGGGGGGGGGGGGGCACGGCGCACTCGCAGCCCCTGGTGGGACCGGGCACCGACGGCCGTCAAGGCCCCCCCACCCCACCCCCTGCACCGCCCTCATCCGCAGAGACTTACTCAGCATCTACAAGGCCACAGCCTCCAGAAGTTTAATCCTGCTCGTTCGGAAGAGGAAATGGAGACTCAGACTGGCACAGAGTCTGGATTCAGAACCGCTTCTGGCTGGCTTTTTCCCCCCAATACCTTCCACTTTTCTTTTTTCTCTAAAACGTCAGTCCATTTCCTCATCCTGCCCTTGGTTAAGAACCTGCAGTTGAAGCGCTTTCTAACCAGGGCCTGCGATTACAGCGACAGGGGCGTGTGCACAGCCCAGTGCCGGGCCTCATGCTTCACTGTGTCTATGAAGGGGCCCCCAGCCTCTCACGCTGCTGGGAAGGGCCCACCGCGATCTCCAGGCTACAGACCAGGAGGGGACAAGTAAAGCCTCGCCCCAGGCCAGGTCCTGTCCCCAAGGACACGCTGATATGATCTCAGGGTCTCTCTACCTTGGAACATTCCATAGCAGAAAGCCAGGGTTTTACACTGACACTCATCTCTGTCTCTTCTAGGTCACTTTGCTCGCCGGCCTGCGAGCCCAGAATGCGGGGTGGGGTGGATTCACTGCATCTTTGAAGTCATTTCAGGAAATGATACCCCACAGGCATCACCGCTTTGCAAGCCGGCAAACGGGAGACGGGAGCTGGCACCGGGAAGCCCACACGTGCAGCCGGCCCTCACGACTCAGTCCAGAGCTCAGTCGGTCGGCTTGGGTCCAGCGAGGGCCCAATGGCCCCCGTCCGGGCTCTGCGTGCCACACCACCTACCACCACCACTCAGCTCTGCTGCTCGGCTCAGAGGCAGCTGTGGGCCTCGAACTCCTGGCGCGGGGGGCTGCATCCCAGGAAACCGGGTTAGAGCAGCCTGCTCCAGGGGCACCTGGGGGCTCAGTCAGTGAAGGGGTGACTCTTGACTTTGGCTCAGATCATGACTCACAGTTTGTGGGTTCAAGCCCCGCGTCGGGCTCTGTGCTGACAGCTCGGAGCCTGGAGCTGCTTCGGATTCTGTGTCTCCCTCTCTCTGACCCAAAAGAACAGGCACCAACGGTGGGTGCAGTCTGCAAAGTGTGAGGAGGTTCAGTGCTGCCCTGTGCCTCCCACTGAGAAGCAACAAAGGGAACCCCGCTCAGGGTTGTAAAATCTGCCAGCGGTGCCAGCTGCACGAGCCCGCGAATGTACGAAAAAGCACCGACATGTACACCTTGAGCAGGTGGACAGTGGTGTGGGAGCCGCACCTCAATAACGCCAACAGGGAGCACAGCCTGTTTCCGAGGAGGATGGAGGGGGTCGGGCATTCCGAGGGGCAATAAGCCTTTGGTGCGACTGCTTCGGGGGGGCCCGAGGCAAAGTCAGGCGGCTCTGGGGTGGTACGTGCTCCCTCCAGGCTCCGCGCCCTCACCGCATCACGTGGGGGCCTCTCCTCTGCCTCTCCCGCCTGAGGAAACCTCATCTCTGTCCATTTCCTTTTTTCCTTTTAAATGTTTATTTAGTTTTGAGAGAGAGAGAGAGAGAGAGAGAGAGACAGAGAGACAGAGAGACAGAGAGACAGAGCATGAGCAGGGGAGGGGCAGAGAGGGAGGCAGGCACAGAATCCAAAGCAGCTCCAGGCTCTGAGCTGTCAGCATAGAGCCCGACGCGGGGCTCGAACCTACTAACCGTGGGTTCAGATCATGACCTGAGCTGAAGTCAGAGGCTCACCTGACTCAGCCACCCAGGCGCCCCGAGGGAGAGAATGTTTACGAAAGCAGGGGTGCTGGGGGGCTCAGTTGGTTAAGCATCTGACTCTTGATTTCGGCTCAGGTCACGATCTCACGATTCAGGGGTCCAAGCCCCGT